CAAATAATCAAATTATCTCGTGGACCCTTAATTATGATAGCCTGCTTAGGAAGAACTCAGGAATGCTATTGGGAAAATTTCCCTTTTCCGTAATCTTGTTTCTTAATTTCTAGGCGTGAAAAAGTTCATCACGGTTATTTTGAATGCTCACATGTGCTAAGCCTGATAATTGGTTGGCGAGAGTGTCACGAAATCGGTCTGACATACAAAATCACCACGGGCAGACAGATGGGAGGAATATGAAAAGTACGAAATTACAAGGTTTGCTCTAATTAATGTATGATAATTTTAAGACGCAAATCAACAAAAACAGCTATGGAACCGGAGATATACGTTCCGAGAGTAAATTCGCTTTCTTCAAACAAGCGTAACATTCCGCAGAACAAAGATCGAGCGCATTCGATGGAGCTTCTCATGCTCTTTTTGCTCTTTTTCTTGAATCCTATCAATCATCGAGCTTTAGAAAATGACGAAAAAATGCGATCCATAGTCTTGCCGTGGTCAGGTTTCGCTAATTTTTTGAAATTTTTGAGCTGATTTCCAGAAGAAACCAAGCTATATACCTATCAATAAAGCAAACCCCAGAGAATACGAAACAAACTTTTCTTTTCCCTGGAGTGCTTTTCGGAATTTTCAAAATTATTTTTTTTTGACCCTATCGAATTCATGTCGGTCAACTCAAACCTCGCAGAACATTAAATGGAGAGCAACTAGATGCCATTCGATGCAACCAACTTATTGTCCACTTTTTGATAAGCTTTTTTCGTTTCCGATTCATAGAGTCTTCGCGAATAAAATCATCGTAATTTGTATATCTAAGCGTACTTTAGTCTGCACTAGTCCGTAACTCATTTATATCGTGAACTTTGTATTAAGCCATGAACTCTTGGAAGCTTTGAATTCCGGAGGTTTATTTCAATAAAATTATCAAAAAGATTATGACGAGCAATGGAGAATAAAAACAATTGTATGGCATGCAGTAAGGTTTAATCTACGCATCGGTTACTTCCGCAGCTCAGGAAGGTCGATTTTAAAATCTACAAAAATAGCTAATTAGACTAGACCATAGCGAAAACCACGAACCGTAGTTTTTGGCCTCTGAGAGCTCACTGACTAAACCGGAATATGAAAACAAAGATTTGGAAGAGGAAGAAAAGCTGCATCGAACGCGTCCAAAAGCATTCAAGAGTATGTATCTTTCGGGATGTACGCTCATTCGAAAAGCGAAACTACTTCTGGAACGACCTGATACCATTTTTTACACACTGATTTTGGCGATACTATTTCGGACAAACAGCTACCATAAGGTGTTTTCCATCACTTTCTACTCAAACATGTTTCGGACATCAAGATGGCTCAATCTTTTCCCATGAAATCACTTCTAGCACCAAATATAACGATTTTCCGAAGAAGTTGGAAATTGATGTCCTGGAGATTTTGACATTCCAGATGTGCAGGGTCTCAACTAATCGGCCGAAAAAATTTTTGAGGTGCTCAAATTTTGCGCCCCCCCCCCCCTCGGTCCGCCACTGCTACTTACCTGTCTCTACCTTTTTAGTTTATGTCTATTGGCGCAATTCTGAGAGTATTTCTAAAACAAACAAGTAGAATAAAGAAAAAGACATAAAGAAAAATTTAATATATAAAGAAAAGTGAATGCTGATTTGACATAGAAATTAGCTCGATCATATACAATACCGCTCACAGAATGTGCAAAATTTTCGTGAATGTCGCAGAATTCCGGGAATTCCGCGGAGGTTCGCGAAATTCCTGGAATTCCGCGAAATTCCGGAAATTTCGCGAAATTCATGTGAATCACGCAAATTACGGGCCATAACTTCTTTCCGAATGAGTGTATTCAAAATCCGAAAACAGCATTGTATTCAGCTCGTCAAGGCGAATCTTTTGCTATACAGGGTGTCTCCAATATCTGTTTTCAATAATCCTGAATTTGCATGCGGACTACTCTTCGCATGGGTGTAACGCAACGAGCATCACACATAGGAGACTGCCGTGGGCACCCTTCGATAATACTCTTTCAGTAAATTATTCTGCGCTAAACAGCAGGCGAAGACTCTTCTTTAAAGGAAATAGAAGAGCTGATAAACTTTGGAAAAATTAAGCTGTTCCAAGTTCTACCAGCCGTAACTTCCTTCAAAATGAACATTTTCGGAATCCGAAAGCAGCATTGTGTTCAGCTCGTCAAGGCGAATCTTACAATATACAGCTTGTCCTTGAAATTCTGTTTCCAATTTTTTCAAAATTTTCTGCGCGCGTATATTCGCAAGGTCGCAACGCAGCGCACATCAAACATAAAAGACTCCAATAAGCACTATTGGATTGTGCTGCTTCCGCAGATTACCGAGCGCTAAAAACGAACCTTGGAATCTTTTTCAGAAAAGATAGAAGAGCTGGTGAATTCTGGAAAAATCGTGTTGTCTCAAATTTTGCCCACTGTAACCCTAAACTGGGAAGCTCACCCGAATTTCTTTGAAAACTTGCTCATAGAGGTTATCTGACCTGCTGATTACGAAAATCACATTTGCTTAGCAGGAGAGCTTCCCAGTTTAGGGTTACAGTGGGCAAAATTTGAGACAACACGACTTTTCCAGAATTCACCAGCTCTTCTATCTTTTCTGAAAAAGATTCCAAGGTTCGTTTTTAGCGCTCGGTAATCTGCGGAAGCAGCACAATCCAATAGTGCTTATTGGAGTCTTTTATGTTTGATGTGCGCTGCGTTGCGACCTTGCGAATATATGCGCGCAGAAAATTTTGAAAAAATTGGAAACAGAATTTCAAGGACATGCTGTATCTTGTAAGATTCGCCTTGACGAGTTGAACACAATGCTGCTTTCGGATTCCGAAAATGTTCATTTTGAAGGAAGTTACGGCTGGTAGAACTTGGAACAGCTTAATTTTTCCAAAGTTTATCAGCTCTTCTATCTCCTTTAAAGAAGAGTCTTCGCCTGCTGTTTAGCGCAGAATAATTTACTGAAAAAGTATTATCGAAGGGTGCCCACGGCAGTCTCCTATGTGTGATGCTCGTTGCGTTACACCCATGCGAAGAGTAGTCCGCATGCAAATTCAGGATTATTGAAAACAGGATATTGGAGACATCCTGTATAGCAAAAGATTCGCCTTGACGAGCTGAATACAATGCTGTTTTCGGATTTTGAACACACTCATTGGGAAAGAAGTTATGGCCCTGCGTAATTTGCGTGATTCACATGAATTTCGCGAAATTTCCGGAATTTCGCGAATTCCAGGAATTTCGCGAACCTTCACGAAATTCCCGGAATTCTGCGACATTCACAGAAATTTTGCACATTCTGTGAGCGGTATTGTACTGGTGTTCTGCGCAAATTGGTGGCAGCCAAAGCAACTAGAAACTTGACTTTTTTCAACCATTTCAACCTGTTAACTATGCTCAGATCACTCCTTTGCTTTTTATCCGGTTTATAGGCAAGGTCTATTTCCTGAACTTGAGTTCAACCAAAGCTTTCACTAACCCTGAAGAATTACAAAATTTTGATCTGTGTGCAGCGGATTATATGTCTTTAACAAGTCGTACAAGTACCAGTTACATAGTTTTTGAAGGGTTTAAGCCGTCATTTTTTCTTTGAATTTTGTTCTGAAGAGCGCAGTTTCAGGAGAGGAGCCTTCCGAAATGCAAAAAAAAAACGAAGAAGCTTTGCTATTAACGCAAATTTCATATCTGCTCTACATCTGCACAGCATTCGTTTGAGAAGAGTTCTAATCACAAATTTGTCCTTCTTATCTGCAGAGCATTCGTCTGAGAGGAGTATCAATCACTAATCTGTCCTTTTTATCGGCAGAACTCCATGAATTGACATCTTTTGAGCGGACCATACAAGAGCATTCTATAACCATGTTATAAAAAGTTTGGAAGGAAAGAATACAAAACCAATGTTCGCAAAAAAGTGTTGGAGTGAAGGGATCCGTTACTAACTGGGTTGTGGAGCTCAAAGCTATGTTTCGTGTAATTTGTGGTATAAACAAGGAGTCAGGTCAACGTCTCGATCCTACTGTAGGTGAAAATTTGGAATATGAAAGTTACAGTTCATGCACTCGAAACAACTGGAAAACGGGCTCGAACAAGCTCATTTTGTCCGCTTTGATTTGAGCTTGCCCATTAGGCTAGTTTAAAGATGAGTATTCATGTAAGGGTCAGGGGTTTTCGCATGAAGTTGCAGTAAATATAGTTTCATGCATAGTCCAAACTTGATGAGAAAACGGTAAATAAGCCACCTGTATAAGATTGCCTCAATTAAGATTTGCCCTAATGAAGAACACATTGAAACAACTGAGCCGTCTTGAACATGATCTCAAGGCGGGGTTTAGAGGTCATGCATGTGTAAAGTATGTACGATATCTGCTCTCTGCTCGGACAACGATGTTCAGGAGGGCAGAAGACGTTACGAAGCAGTTGGCCACACCCTGACAAGTGCTGATGGATTTTCTTGAATAGTGCCAAGGCTGTGGTTATGAAGTGATTGTTTGGTGGATTCCTAACTCTCTGAATCTCTTTACTTTCCATTACGACTGCTTCTCCTTCTACTAGGTTCGTAAGAAAGTTTTCGGACATTTTCAAGTTGACACTGCTATTTCTCGGGTTGTGATGCATCTACGAATGCGAAAATTTGTGGTGGTACTCTCACATATACGCGGCTTATATGTGTGCAGATGAGAGTGCTTAGGGTCAATAGGGGCGGAGCTTGCCACTTTTCGATTATCTCATTTCTCCTGCTAAATAGGCTCAAATTCCACACAGACTTTGCATATATGTATGTGAGTTCATGTCTACTATATATTGGAGTATATGTGAGTGTTACAGTGTTTACGGAAGGTGGAGTTCTGTGCTCTCTCGAAATCCCATGTCTTCGAATTTTCGCCTCTATTTTCACAGGGTTCATTAATCGTGGTTGCGATTAGTACGGTGTTTTGGTGTTTGCTTTCCTCTATCCGATTATATACAGCATGCCCTATTTATTGCTTGCATCGAAGCAAAATCTTTGTCTAAAGGCAATGTCCGAGAACTTTGTTACCAACCTAATACAAATGCTTGTAATTCAATGGATGAGTGGCAATCAGATCTATAAGTAAGGATTGAGACGCAACGCGATGACATTAGCATAAACACTGTATTTCTACATTCTTTCCTATCAGAAAGCATCGTACGACCAATGAAAATCGGGAAATTTTCTAAACGTCCTTCTCCTTTTGCGTTCTCTGCCACGCTGAAAAGGTTAAATCATATTACTAACATTAGAGCAGCTAGAGGCAACTACCGTTTGTGAGGCGGCGTTCTCAATCTTCAAGACCATAACATCATTGCGAAGCAAGTGCCTCCATGGAATATTATCAAATTTGATTAACAGGGAGGATTTGGCGCCCGGCTCAAATGAAACATCGGTACCAAGGAAGGTTACCTTTGTCTGTAAAGAGGATGACAATTCAGAAAATTCAGTGATGATAGAGAAACCAACTCTGTCCGTTGTTTTCAAATTCTGCAGTTCCAAATCTTTGGTTGGCATGTCTAATACCCATGCATATACGATAGTTTCTCCTTCAATTTGTGGATTGTATAGCCTGTTCCTCGGCAATGCAGTTGACGAAATACGAGATGTGTACCTGAAAGTCATTTTGACATTTGATTTGGCATGCTGGGAATCATCTTACCAAGTATTTCCAGTGTCGTTTTGATGAATCCATGGCTTGGTCCCATATAACGCTTCGGAATTAGCGTTCAAGAACCTAGAATTGTACAGATCTAGTCTTAAGCTTGAATTCTTCTGAGCAAAGAGATAAACATCTTTAGATCCCATAAATGTTGCTTCCATCACCAGTACTTCCATTTTACAGTAGGTTTAGTAAGATTTTGTTACAAGTGTCCACCTACTTGCCCAATTCTCTCAGTCGATCCTCGAAAATAGGAGGTATCTTGCCATGCATATCAGGACCTACATTCAAAAGAAGGTTTCCTCCACATGACACTGTTCTAGCTAACTGTTCCACTATTTCGTGAACAGTATGCACATCGCTGCTCTAAATACCAGTATCATTAGCTATTTTGCAGTTACAAAATTTAGAAGGCTCTATGGAGACTCTCGAGGGAGAAAACGGGATTAAGCCGACCGCTTGAGGTCGCTGAGCATTGGAATTGAGCAAATCTGCAGTCTAGTGATGGTAAAGCATCACTTGCAAGTTTTCGCAAAAACTAATCTCCTAAATAAAGCTGGATATTAGATAGAGAGTTGCATAGATATTGTTGATTTTTTTGATTTTTACGATCAAGAACATCTGCGTATAGCTAGCTCTTACTTGCTTCGGTTTTAGAAAATAGCTAGAGCTAACAGAGGCACAGTCTACATCCAAAGTATAGGATTGTAGTCCCGATAAAGTGCACAACAGTTCAAGGAGCAGAGTGCACATTCAAGTCTTCCAAGAGCATTCAATAAAATATCAATCCGCTACCTTCATTGTTCTTCTGTTTCCCCATGACGCTTTGTCCAATGTCATGCAGTTCTCCCATTTCCTGTCCAGTAATTTACCTGCAATGCAGAAATCTTTTTTTGATTTGTAAGCGTTACAAGCAGCATTTAGTCAAATTGGCAGATTGAGGCGAATCTGTACTAGGTTGTTCAGAAAACAATGTCGCATTAAATCCTACCGCAGCAACGTAGATAATGAAGAGGGTACCGTTTGATAGAGCAAAGCAAATTTCACAAGATGGGTCAAAACAACCAATACACATATATTTTTGTGTGCAAAAAATCATACCTCCGCCCTTGAAACTTTTGGGATCTCTAATTTGTACTATGTACTCCCCACACTAGACGTTCACGACGGTTTGTGAAACTTTTTCATGGGTAGAACATAAGGAACAAAAAAAGTGCGACAATGTCGCGTTTTTCGGTCTCTTTTGCGATAAACTTGATTTTCAAAAATAGCCCTTCTAGAATAATTAAAATTTTGATTACACTTTTAAAGGTTTATACCATAGAATCGTCCATCTGGGAAGCTCAGGTTAGGTGGCAAAAGCATGCCGAATTTCGTTATCTCGATTTTTAGCCATGGAAACACGAAGCTGTGCATAACATGTCTAACGTAAAGTGTGTGTGCGTGAGCAAGTCGGCAGTCCCTGGTTTTTTGTTTTGGGTGGACGACGTTATCAAATTTTCAGGCACCTGAGCTTTCTGGGATTTGGCTTCAAACTTTAGGTGAATCAAATTTGTTGCAAATATTTCCATCATGTAGGACTTGTTTGCTTTATCGAACGGTGCTCCTTTAATAAATGGTAAATTTCTGCCGCAAAATTGCGTGATAGCCGATAATGCGGACATCATTACACAGTATTGCTTCTATGGGCTTAGTAGAAGTAAATGTTATCTAAATACAGCGGATTATAGTGGATACACCGATCATGTGAAAGGTCAAAAAATGGGGTGTTACTTGAGAGTGTAGGTTCACGCAGTCGTCGCGCACAACTGACTTGTAACCAGGGTCAAGCGTGGGGTGTGGCACGCCACACCTGGGGGATCGTATTGAGAGGTCGGCGAGGGGAAGGGGGTCGTTGTCGAGGTGAGCTGGTTAGCGATAATATGATATTTGTTAACAATGTAAGATAGGCACTGTGTAAGGTACTAACATGTCGATGTTTTGGCCTACCATTCGTATACGTACCGTAAGCGTAATAAAAGAGCACTATAAGCATAAGAGCATCACTTCCGTAAATAGAATGTCAAATAATCCCTGTGGGGCCAAGTTCAGCGATATCTGAGGTTTCTAAATATTGAGCCATCCAAGTGAGATAATCATTTTTAAACATGTTACCTTCGTTTAAGGTGAATTAACTACATCTTCCTGCACTTAATACAAAGAACTACTACTTTTTTTGCTCACATCAGGAATCCTACTTCGAACATCGTCCAAACTATGGAATTACGAGCAAGCCAAAATTTCGCTTCTTCCATTTTCAGCTTTCAATATCTCAGACTAGAGAAGACCAATCAGGCTCAAATCACTTCAATGTAAATTGCGAGAGTTGGGCTATTTTCAGTTATTGTCGCCTTACATCGCGTTTTACATAGTAGGGCAGACTAGGCATGTTACCGTAACCCAATATTTTCGCATTATTTTCCAGTTGCATAAGTAAGCAAAAACGATTATATCTTTCCCTAGAAGAAACGAGTTCAAATGGTTTTCCTACTAACAAACAGAAGTAAAGAAGTAAAGAAGAAGGTTGAGCAATAGCAAAGATATAAAAAACGCAGAGATTTGAATGATTTGAAGGCAACTTACAAGGGAATTCACTTAACTTAGGTCGGGCTTTTAAAATGGGATACATTTATTTAGAATCAGCTCGGAACGCTGATTCCAAATATGCTATCCTTAGCTGCGAAGCGTTTCTCTGAAGCGAGTTATGAGCTTTTTTTATTATGTGTCACTGTCATACAACTGAATATGGAAAGAAAGTCTTTGGATGAAAATCTGCCCAAAAAGTGGTGGAAAATCAAAATAACATCAAATTGAGTCATCTGGCTTTGATAGGGTATAACATGCATTTGAACCATTACATAGATGATGATACCGTAGCATGCCTAAATCGGTCAACACGCAAAATTTGCTCAAAAAGCTCATAACTCGCTTCAGAGGAACGCTTCGCAGCTAAGGAAAGCACATTTGAAATCAGCGTTTCAAGCTGATTCCAATCATATGTGTCTCATTTCAAAAGCCCGACCTAAGTTAAGTGACTTCCCTTGTTAGTGGGGTGTGGCACAACCCCTTAAAAGTTGTGGCTGCCACAGCTTTTTAGGGGTTGTGCCACACCCCATAACTATATCTAAAAACATTTCTAGTGAACAGTATTTATATAAATCGATAGCCTAAATCTCGTAGATTTCACAGGAGTGATTTGAGCCTGATTTGTCTTCTTAGCTCTGAGTAATATCTGATGAAAGCACAGCCGTGAAAATTGGAAAAAGCGAGATTTTGTTTGGCTTCTAATTCCACAATATGGAAGTCTTTTGAAACGCAATCTGTGAAGTGGACAACGAAGGACTAGTGTTTTGTCTTGAGTGCGAAAACGGGTAGCTAACTTACCTTCCAATCAAATTAATCAAGTTGGAAAATGACTGTTTCACTTAGGTGGTCTAGTATCTTGAATCTTCAAAACTTGCACAAACTTTGTCTACAGGGGCTAATTGACATGCTAATTATGGTTATGTCGCCCGTTATGTGACAGAGCCTTCAAGTAATGCTATCTTAGGTATATAGTTCAGGGGGTCTTATTGAGACAGCAATCAGAGGGGGAGGGGGGGAGGGTCGTAACCAGCGATAGTGTGCCACACCACTTGCTTGACCCCGCTTGTGACTCGTAACTGCGCGCGGAGAATTCGCCCATCATACCCGCCACGCGTACTTATTGTTGAAGTTTCCAAATCAATTCCGTACTGGTTCCTACCACTTATTTGAAGTCCCGGACAAAACTTGTAGAGGTAACCCTTTACAGGGCAAGATAGACATACTATCAAGTGATTAGTCTAAAGAGTCATTGGGAGGATGCTGATTGCAAACAAACAACGCTGCGACGCACCTTAGAACTCACTATAGACGACTAACAAGACACAGTGAAGGCGTTAACTTCAATAACATAAACTGAGGCGGTATATATCAATCTCCCGTCCAGATAAGGGTTCCCATTCAGGTAGTATCCGCATCGTAGCTCGGAGCTCTGGAGATCTGTGTTCTTCCTTGTTTGTTCATCTTTTGGAGGCCTACTTCCCTAATACTGTAGCACAATGAATAGCAGAAATCATACAAATAACGAATTATCTCAGTTTATAGAGCAAAGTTCTGCAGCTCTATAAACTGAGATAATTCGTTATTTGTTGATTCCGAACGGGATTTACGGATCACGGCTCATTTTCAACGTTATTTATAGTACGAAAACTCAATGAAAACGGTGTAAAGTTTTGCTGTTGATCTATGAAGACAGTGCTAAGCATGTTTTTAGAAGCACAGATGAAATGTGCAAGTTTTGAGTTTTTCGAGAAACCACAGCTCGCGAGTAGGGGTCATCGAAGATTTTGTCAAGTTGATTTTTCACTTATTTCCTTCACAAGCATGTAGCGCTGTGCATATAGGTCGTCAGCGCAACTTTACCACGTCTGAGCTTAAGGTAAATGATTTTGAAAATAAGCCGTGATCCGTGGGGATTCCGTACGGGATCATACAAAATGCCGAAAATCTCAGCTTATACAGTGAAATGCTGGTATTCATTATGCTACAATGTTAGGGTAGTAGAGCCTCCATAAGATGAGCAAACAAGAAAAAACAGATCTCCAGAGCATCGAGAAAACTTACCCGGACCGGCGATTGATAAGTACCGCCCCTGAACAATTTCTTAGGGGTTTTATAATTCCGCTCGGGAGAAGAAGTCGTGGTTCCAAGGGTAGATTTCAATCCAAAGAGTGTATGGAATGAGGAAAACAAGGTACATATTAGGTTGTCCCAGGTTTTGTCCGTTTTTTCGAACTATCAAACCATGCACATCCTGACCTGAATGAGTTCCGACATGCATTTGATGCAGCTTTTCCTTCTCTTTCTTATAGATACATTTTCTAACCACAAACTTGTATGCTTTTTTGATAATTGCCAAAATTTTCCACTTGTCAATTTTATCTGCTCGAAGTTAAGCTAATTTTTAAAAATTTAATTCAAAGATTCGATAATGGTTAAGTATGGATTAAATAGAGCATTTGTCGGACTGCAAGGTAATATTTATAGATTTTCCTAATCTGCTGTTTCTAGCTTCAACAAATTATTTCTTCGAAAGTCTCGATTTTTGTCAAAGTCATGAAAGACGCAACTGCAGTAAATACACGAAAGCTTTTGAAGTTTCTGCGAATCGAAACATGGTTCTTATTAAACATTATTTATGCAACACGACCAAGTTTGATTTGCTTTGAAAAAGCACCTTTTGGAGTTTACGGTACTTTTACTTGGTAAGTGTGATCAAAAAGCCGCGATTTTTCTTGAATAAATAATTATGCTGGTACTTGGTAAACGTGGCCCATATGATCTAAATGGGTACAATTTAGCCAAAAGTTAGCTCTACATGACAGTTACCAGCGCTCTTTTAAAACATCAGGATAAGAATCCTTAAAATTCGATAAAGATTTGGCGTTACTGCTGAGCTGCTCAAAAAACCATGAGGACAATATTGCAAAAACAAGTTAGATCAAAGAACAAATATAGCCGTAAAAAAGAGGGTAAAAATCTGAATCAAATGATACCTAAGTCGTTTATGGACGGGTTCTTTGAGTTTTAGTGAGTGATGAAGAAAACGGACAAAACTTTCGGGACAACCTAATATTAGGTCGTTCCGAAGGTAATATCGCTTTTTTTGTGAACGCTACATTTGGAGGAAGCAAGATTTCTAGGAGATCTTGGTGGCATTCGATGCAGCATTTCATTCTCTTTCTGAAGGTTATATGAAAATTGCACAATATTCGATAAGCTCCAAACTAACCAAAATCTGCGACCCATGCTTTTTGAGAACAAGTTTCACAATTTTTCTAAATTTTTAAAACAATCCCCCGAAGGAGTCCAAGTAACAGGTGGATTAAGCAAACTAGGAAACAGCACGATTTTTCTCTGCTTTCCATAGCTCGTCATCATTTTTGTAGAGATTTTTCAATGGAATCACCGAACTTTAGCAGGCTTGTCTCAGACAAAAATGCATCAAACACCAATAAATTTTCGGATTTTAAAACTTACAGAGGTGGATTATGGTTTGACACTAATTTTATAAAGCAAATGAGCGTTTACCCTACAGATTAAAAACTTTCGAAAATTTTGGGTACCGCCTGGGGCGCAGGGGACCTGAATTATGATGATTTTATACCGGGAAATCTTCATGAATCGGAAACCAAAAGCAACTGGTAAAAAAAGGAGAAAAAGTTGCGCCGAATAACACCCGAGTTGCTTGCCGTTTTTTATTCTGTGAGGTTTGAATTGACCAAATATGGAATTTGATAGCATTGAAAAATTGATTCTAGAAACTGTATGAAGTAAACTAAGGAGAAGAAAAAAACTGTTTTATGCCCTCTAGGGTTTACTCTATTTATCTGTTACTTGTACATCTTCGGATAATCAGTACAAAAATATAGAAAAATACCCGAACTTGACCATGACAAAAGCATGAGTCGCAAGTTTTAGTATTTTTTTGGGACCTCATTGAATATTATGCGACAAAATTATGATCGTTAGAAGAGGACGAAATGCTGCATCGAATGGTCTCAAGAGCTCTTCAAAATCTTAGTTCCACGAAATGTGGCGTTCATTTGAGAAAAGCGACATTATTTTCGGAACGACCTATTACATAACTGCAATTTCATAAATGTGGACAAGGTTACTGTACAGCCGCGTCGCAAAATCCCTGATTGCCAAACACAAGTAACCTCTCCCCCTACAAAAAGAGGTTTAGTGGTGTAAACTTTGTATCTAGCGTAGTCATGGATACTATTTTCACTCTGGTGCGTCCATTAGTTTTGCCTTGGCCGTAGTTCTCCAAAGTGCTATGAAAAAACATTTATTTCCCTTTTTCTCATCATTTTCGAATCTTTAGGATTCTCTTAACAAATCTGCATCTCACGCCCTCATTCCAACATTCCTGTTTCCTTACTAGATTCACAGATTCGGTCGCAAGCTTGCTCCGCTGGAACAGTGTGTGCGCTGAGGCCAGCATTTTCCATGATAGAGAATGGCATCATCCTCTGTTACTCATCCTCATCTATTCATTCTTGCCATATGACTGTTTCTGCATGTTATTCGCTCGTTCCAAACAAAATAGCCGCCCCCAGTTTAGAACCTTTTCATAGATGTAACGGGAACGAAAATTTTCGTTCTTGTGAGGAACAATGACAGCACTCGCATACACTGTAGTGGGAGTCCCTGGAGTCAAAATTCCAAAGGTCTTCAAGGTATTTCGGTTGCTAAAAGCTTATAAGGGAATGGTCAGAAATCAAAGTAGCCAAACCAGACAAGCTGCATACAATTAGATGTAGCATAAAGCGCTGAGTCCAAATCTGTCTTCTCTATTTGCTTATCGCTTTTCTGGACGAAGCTATAAGTTGTCAAAAGCCAGTGAAAGTAAAAATTTGGCCGTACAGAGCCATGTTCGGTTTAATGCTGGCCCATAACATACAATACTTACTTTGAATTCTTGAAGCCCAAAGCTGCACTGAAAGTGCAACAATGTGCTTAATCTCGCAGTTTTCATGTACGATTTTATCACAGTAAAACTGCATGTAGCTTCGTCCACAGAAGCGAGAAGCAGATAAGAAAGGCAGATTTGAAGTCAGCGTTTTATACTGCATTGAATGGTATACAGCTTGTTTGGTTTGGCGCCTCTTCGACTTCTGACCATTCCCTTGTTAGACAGCAGTTATAGGATTCAGTCTATTTTAGATGTGGTAAGTACATGCTAATTAATTTAACAGAGAGCAAAAACTCTGTATAGCGATTTCAACATGTTAAATTCACTGAATTCAATTTATTGTGAGAAGCACAGCCTGGAGATTTTGCAAGATTGTGCAGTTGCACATTTTCCACGTTGCTGGCGAATGAACTTTTCTCCCAGATGAAAAGTGCATGACGTGTACATTTGCTTTCAAATAATCAAGTCTGCACAACAAAGGAAATCAACAAGTAGCAAAGAAAAACATCATCTAAGCCACATAGTCAACAAGGGAAGGATACTTGATGCATGGTTATTTTTAATGAGACGCATACCAGGATACCGGTTACAAATCTGCTCTCGGTATATGCTAAGCGATGGTCTTAAATAAGTTATGGTCTTTTTTCCGCAAAATTTTTGCACACTAAAGCATGACCAGATTTTTTGATATCTGAGTTTTTTGAAGACAAACTCAACTGCGACAGATTCTCCAAGCCTAAAATGAGTGCATTCTCCTTCAAATGTTGTATCGAGGATCGAAACAAAAAATTCGGATGATGCTTATAGTTTCACTTATTTGAAACGCGAATTTTTTATGGAAAAAACGTTCATAACTTATTTCAGACGGTCGCTTAGAAAACAGCGAAAGCAGAATAGGGCAAAGCGCAAAGTATGATAGATTTAATCGTGAGTACGAGTGGGGGGGGGTATGATGAGATTGACTTCCCTCACTAGCAATATGTTCACATCTCAATCTGCAATTTGACTCTGTATCTGCTGTGGACGTACCTGGATCGAAATGGTCAGAAAATGTCAGGAAACCTCCATGCTTCCCAATTGTCCCCGAACCCCAACGATCATTGACCACAACCTTGTCCTTGACGGGACTAAAAGATGTCTCCATATAATTTGAAAAGAGCTAACGTTTCGTTACATTGCTACCTAGTGTTATATAACCAAGCTAGGAAATCCTTGCTTCTCCAGTACTCGTCGCTTTTGTCCCAGTCGCCGTCGCTCCATACTACTTCTGGTTTATACCGGTTCACTATTTCCAGCAATTGTGGATAAGAAACTTGCTAAATCTTATTGATCAGAGTGTGAGATAGTGTAAACAAAAACGAACATCAACATAAGTCGTAGTATTGTATTTGCCATCATCAATAAACATTGGGTGGAACCATTCAAACAATGAAAAGTAGAGTCCGTAGTGGACGTCAGTTCCTTTGAAAGCATCCTTGAGCTCTCCTGAAGGAAACTGTTTGGAGACTTGTTTGCAAAAGAAGTGATTGGTGGACTTACCCACGATATCTCTTTTTGGACCCACGTCGACAGAGTTCCAATTCCAGCTTGTTCTCGTAGGCCATAAAGCAAACCCTTCGTGATGCTTGCTAGTCAAAACAAAATACCTAAATCAGTTCTGTGGTATGCGAAAAAACGAGCGCTGTTCGTAAATCATGAATTAATGCATAAAAAGCAGATGGGTACTATGAGAATTGCGGAGGGTAAACCAATTCCTAATGAACGTTTGCAGCAAAAATGATGCACCTTGCTCCAGCCGACTTCACGATGTCAGCAAAATCCTTAGCGTCAAATAGCTCAGCAGTAAACTGAAATTGTGCTTGACTCGTTTCATTAGATACTGGCGATCCAAATATTTTATGGTAGAAACCTCTCTTGCAAAGTCAGCGTACGTTGTGCCTGGCTTATAGTTGCGGTCAATGTACCTAACGACGTCTTTATCGGGTTTTTCACCTTTCCAGTACCACCACATCCATTCAGACCTATCAAAATTATTTTCGACGGGTCATCATCGTTCTTCTCCCTAAATAGCACGTGAGACCATACCTATAAGCCGGTACTGAATACACCCCCCAATGGCAGAATATGCCAAACTTCGACTCATCGTACCAACTCGGAAGCGGTCGAGAATCCAGAGAGGGCCATGTTGGCTTAATAAGCATAATTATTGTAGACACATATGAAAGACATGAACACACCTGATACTTTGCAAAAGCTAACGTGAAGAAGAGCTGTAAATAAAGCACGGTCAACATCACAGGAGTGCTGTAATCAGTGGGTCATCGTGTTCTAGATAACGTTCTCATTTGTTTGTCCAGTATGCTATCAAGTGCAGTAGACAGGAAACGGGGCAGGACGTTGACATTTGATCGCTACCTGCTAAGTGTTCAAACTTGCTAGTTCTATTGCAGCATGACTCGTTGGCATGGCGCTTTATGCAGTGATGACTGTGACCATCCAAATTTATGCGTTTAGAAGGTAATTGGAACCACAGGAATACAATGTATTCAAAGGAGTTCCAATTTGCAACCGATAAGAAAGATTCTGAGGGTCTCTTCATACTTTCGAGACGTAGCCACCGAAAACAAAAAAAAATTCCCGTTACAAATCTGAATGTTTTGACGAATTAGGAGCTGTTTACCTCTGCATATTCCTTTCAATCTCTAATCTGTTCATCACTTCTCTGAACTTTAGCAGACTGTAAGAACGTCGTTGTAGGAGTTTAGGCAGACGGAGATAAACAAGCTAGCGCAAAAAAATAACAGTTCGCTGATCTTTTGCGATTTGCCCATGGATGTTTAGAAAAGTGCTGGCATTTGAAGGCTTAGGACTTCGCTGCTTTCTGCGAAAATCATCAGCTATGGCAGTACTACATGCCTAGTTTTCCTTCGCAGGACTCCACTAGCTAAAGCTCGGTCCTCTCAGCCCGCTTACCATCGCTCGAGGTAAAACACTGGTGTGACATTTCTTACATTGTGTTCTCTTGCTTCGATCATCCAAATCTCGCATCTCCTTCACTTGTAAAATTCTTGTTTGTGAGCTGAGAATGAGAAGAAGCCGCAAAGCGGAAATTTTTCCATCATTGCCTTTGATTTTGGAGACTTTCCAGATTACCGGAAGGTGCAAGAGTTCCTGTGCACGCTTTCAACATTAAATACTCCCAACGACATGACGGCTTAAAATTTCCTGCCGTAAGTATGCAGAGAAGCAAAGTTCTTTGATGTACAGTCGGGTAGATTTTTTGCTTAATATATGTGCTTGCACTGCAGATAGAATGCGTTAAAGTTTGCGCGTGAACAGATAGTCACACTAGTAATGCCGGCATTTCGCGGGCGCGATTGGCCGGCGTCACAGCTGCACCTATCTGTTCACGCGCAAATTTCATGAGCGGAAACTCTACTCGACTGTACCTTGGCATTGAGGCAAAATACTCACGATCGAATAGTTTGTATCTTCTTTAGGAGCTTTTATCGTTAGTATGGATTTCTTTGTGAATCATGACTTAATATTTGCTTGCCAAAGGTGTTTTACTGTTAAAGGCATCGTCCACCCAAAATTTTGACCTTCATGTTTTTGCCGTCCCAGTGCCTTCTCATACCCCTGATTCCGAATATCAAGTCGGAAATCCGCGAAAACCACGAAGAACTCCGCTTTCAGAACCCGCAGGGCGATTTCTTCGGAACGGTGATTGCTTGGGCGTGCACGGACGGGCGCGACGAACGTCACGCCCACACAAAGGAGAGGAACCAACGTGGCGAATCTGTCATCCGAACGGTTTTCGAAGCCATTTTCTGGCTTCGGAAGCAACTTTGGCCAGTGCGAATTGGATAAGTATACAGTTGGGGGCCCCACTACTGTTAGGCATTAAAATCTCATCGACCCCAATTTGGGTGGACGGTGCCTTTAAAGAGAACATTTATCACGGCTTGCTTTACGCATCCTTCATATCTCTAACATGTGTTTTCCGTTAGTGAAGAAGTGGAAATCATGTTTGGATTGAACGAAGGAAAAACTATCGTTTATAAGCAGCTGACTGGTTCTGTATGCCGTTGATTTCCGTGCAAAAAGTCAACTTTTCTGTATACTTTGGATCGAATGGCATAAATATATAAGTATCCGAATGAAATATTAGTTTGGTGCAAAAGTTCGTTCGCACCAATTTCAAAAATTCATAACTTCTGATTTTTACAACCAATTTGGCTGCATCTATTTTTGTATGGAAGAGTAACTCATGCTCTTCATAATGACATCTTAGCTGCTTGCTAATGATCATCTGTTGCATAGATAGGATCGATAGAAGAAAATTAGTCAAAATTTGAATTTTCTGTGTAGGGTCATAAAAAATCGGAAACTTGCAAGAAAAATAGGAGCAGTTAGTATTGTAGGTTCTTTTACCAGCTCTTTCTAATAGTGCGAAGTTTGCGTCGATTGAGCGCCTCTATGAAAAGTTACGATTTTCGAGCAATCAATACAATAGGGCGAATTTGATTTATTTTGGCATTTTTCAGGGAAATCATAACTTTTGATGAAGGCGCTCAATCGACGCAAACTTTACACCATTAGAAAGAGCTGGTAAAAGAACCTACAATACAGAATTAGATGCATCCAAATTGGTTAATAAAATCAGAAGTTATGAATTTTTGAAATGGGTGCGAACGAACTTTTGCACCAACCTAATATTTAAAAAAAAATGTTTGAAATCTGATTATGCGGATACCAAATCAATAAATCGATGAAAGGACCCGGCGAATCGTCGCGAAAAGTAGCCTACCTTTCGCGCCGTGTCTCACTTACACGAAATCAAAAAATCAAAATTCAGCCTTTTCGAGACAAATGCAAAGTTATCTATAAGCCACAAACATCCTAACAAACAAAGTTACATTGTTTGAGTTTCATATATATACATTCCCCCCTCCCGAGAATGTGTCGCGAAATTTTCAAAAAGTTACTTAAATGAGTTTTAAAAATGTGCAAGTGATTCGTTTATGCTTGTAAATAATTTTGAAAAATTTTAAAATTTTTTTGAGAATTCAATTTAGACTTGTAAAAAATTTTTTTGGGGGTGTGGACCCGCGAGAATATTAGCAAGCATACCAAAAATTTTCTCCGACTGCGTGGCTCACGCCACGCACCTTCATCAGAAAAATTTTTTTGTTCCCCCTTCCTCCTCCCCCCCCCCCCCCCCGACAGAATTTTGGGTACGCCACTGATATACAAACATATTCGATTATTCGAAATTTGTCGTTCTCGAACTCATTCAATTATTCGGTTATCCGTATTTTCAAAATATTAGGTTGGCCCTAAAGGTCTTTCGCACCAATTTCAAAAATTCATAACTTCTGGTCTTTACAACCGATTTGCATGTTTTCATCTTGTAATTTTTATGAAAGAGCAAATCATTTTCTTCATAGCGGTATCTTAGTTAATGGCGTTCTAGTGAACATATACTGCATAGCAGTGGCGTACCCAGGATTTCGGCTCGGGGGGGGGGGACAAAAAATTTTTTCTAAAGAAGGTGCGTGGCGTCAGCCACGCACTCCGAAAAAATTCTTGGGGTGCTTCTCAAAATTTTTCAGTGTCCCCGACCCCTTAAAATTTGGAAAAAGGGGGCGTGGCGTCAGCCACGCCCCTGAAAAAAAAATTTTTATAAGGCTAAAATGAATTTTTAAAAAATTTTAAAAATTATTTTAATTATTTACAAGTAAAAACAAGTCACTTGCGTATTTTTATAACAACTTGCGGTATATATCGGAGCAATCGTTATTATAAGTTCTGTTAACTGCACTTTCTAACTATGCAAAGTTTGTGCCGATTGAGCGTCTCTATGAAAAGTCATGATTTATGCAATACAAAAGGTCGAATTTGATTTATTTTGGCATTTTTCTCGAAAATCATAACTTTTCATAGAGACGCTCAATCGGCACAAACTTTGCATATTTAGAAAGTGCAGATAACAGAACTTATAATAACAATTGCTCCGGTTTTATCCGCAAGTTTCAGATTTTTTGACCCTACACAGAAAATTCAAAATTTGAGTAATTAAAATTCAAAATTTGAGTAATTTTCTTCTACCGCTTATATCTATGCAGTATATGCTCACTAGAACGCCACTAAGATACCTCTATGAAGAGGATGATTTGCTCTATCATACAAAATTACAAGATGAAAACACGCAAATTGGTTGTAAAGACCAGAAGTTGTGAATTTTTGAAACTGGTGCGAAAGAACTTTCGGGCCAACCTGATATTAAATATAAGAGTATATTCCATTTTCGATTATTCGAAATTAGCAGTTATCGAATTCATTCAAATATTCGGTTATCCGTCTTTTCAAAATATTCAAGCATACGAGTACCTACTTTCGAAAATAATTCGATTATTCTACTGTTTCTATAGCCGCATGCTAACATAGATACATTGGATCAAAACTTTGAAGGAACCACTAACGAAGGGGCATTCAAAGTATGCCAGACCTTGAAGGACTCCTAAAATCTCCTCCATATTTTCGGACCACTTTTGCAAGATGTTGTTCTCTTTTTGCACGCATTGAGGTACCATAAGGAGAGGGAAAACAACAGATGCTTAGACAAGATGCAAGACTCTTCGAACTCCCGAGGAGCTGGGAGTTGGACGTAGGTGAGTATTTATCACGAGTAACAAGTTCTTACTGATTTTCAACGATTTTTTGCAAATTTTGAGCATAGCTATGTAGGTGTTGACGTTGTAAATGAGCAAGTTGCCTCGATGTTTTTACGCTAAATAGGGGGGGGGGGGGGCAGGTAAGTAGGTAAAGTGGATTAAAATGGTGATCCACTGAGATATGCGGACAGGGCCTGAGCAGAACCGGTCTGCCATCCATACTACTTGAGTTCTTCATTGTGCCAACGCGACCGATTTTTCTTGAATATTCGACATAGCTGGCACAAAATATTCGAATATCCGAAATTTTTGTTCTCCAATGTATTCGATTAACCGGGATCTACATTTCTGTAATATATTCGACTGATTGACATTTTTTATTTCGGAAAATATTTGGTATTCGGTCATTCGACTTTTTGATCTTGTCGATATTCGGATACTCAAAAGTTTCTCTGAGAACGTTAGATTATTCGCGAAAAAAAATTGAAAATTCAAATTTTAGTGAGCACCCCAGCGATGATAAGCAGTCAACCACCGCTTCCGCCTTGCCGTAAAAAACTGCGCTTGTCCGGGACCACTCCAATACAGGTTTATACGAATAGAAATCTTCAAAGAAACAGTTTTTCTTATTACTATCAGATTTGTGTCCGTTGCCAAATTTGCGAAGTCGGTAATAAGATGCAAGCATGTTCATGACTGCCCGAATAAATGGCATATTTGCAAGTGTATAATTCTGGAACAACATTGAGTAGAGGCGATGCTTTGTACTGCTCTTCTCTTTCAATGACGGCACCTTGACCGAAGAAAGAGCTGTCATATGCTCCAAGTCAAATGAGTTTGCCAGAAGCAGAGACTTTAACATTTCCGAGATCTTTGGAAAAAGTTGTTAATTAATATTGTATACATTTTCTCCAATTTGGTGAAATTCTAGCGCTGTGAACAAGTTATTTCTTATCATAGCAATTCTTTTCTATTTCGCATGTCTATCACGTAGTGACTTGCTGGACGCAAGGAAGCATCTGGTTTGACGTGTTTCACTATATCCTCCTTGCTTTTGCTCCAAAAACGAAGTCCAGCTTGACATCTGTACATCTGAGCTGGACCCTGGACGAAACTATACGTGTGCGCACTTTCAGAGCTAATAGGTTCTCCTCGTTCACTAGACGAGGCACATTCTCCCCGATTGTTGAAATCGCCCGCAACTTCGTAGCTTGTTTTCCCAACAATGTTCCGTTTCTTCTGTCCACGACTTATCGAAGCTCCAGATGAGATGGTTAGTAAAGAAGCAAACTGCTTGCATGTAATCTACCTGCTTGTATGTGCGCTTTATTTGACTAAGAAATGAATACCCGATAAACACATCATCCTCAGTAAAATATCGTCAAACTTCTACAGTGATCAAGGTAAGACATTCATTATGAGATCAGAGATGTTATGACATCGATCCAGTATATATACATATATGTACACGACGTAAACAAATGCGTAAAACGTTTAAAGTGAAAAAGAGGAAAACAGGCTGGTGAGGCATTAGAATATAAGATGCTCTAGTGATAAAAATCCGCAATAAAAGGCTTGTCTACCAAGAAATAACGAGTGTAACATGAATTCATTATCAGAAAAAACCATTTACGTGAATGCTCGAATGTTAGACAACAATAAATGCGGATGCTAATCTGTCCTGCCTGAGATCCCCAGAACAGAAATTTGAATAAATTGCTGTTTAAATTGCTGTTCGAGGAAGCCATCTCATTTCGCATGGAAAAGTTTCTCAGCGGGGTACGTGCTTGATAAGAGTAACAACCCAAGAGCCCGAGCAAGTAGGAAAGATAAAGCTGTTTGTAGCACGAAGAATACAAAAAGGTCGCGAAAATGTGGGCTCCGTCACCAACACATGGAACTTTAGCGGTGTACAGAAAGAAAATAAGTTCAAAGAATCTTCCGCTAAGTAACATTCGTTTTATGAAAGAAAAAGATTTTAATCAGAAACGGTCACTCAAATCAAAGAAAGTAAACTACTGTGAAGTTCCTGCTGCTTTCAGCTATTGATGCTCTCTTTCGAAGTGCACTTTGATTCTAATGTTTAGATTTGACAGAAAAAAAAACAATAAAATGAAGGAGATAAATTCTATTGTCCGAAAGTGCGAGCGAAAGTCATAGCACTATATTAATCTTTCCTACAAACACCGTCAGCTGATGCACAACTTCAAGCCAGAATTAGAGGACTCTTAGGAGACGGGTATGCCCATCAAAAAGGTGACGCGCCTTTTGAAAGAAAATCCATGTGACATGGGTGACTGGTGCAAATTATACAGCAATCAAAATGGAAGCGCATGTCGTTCGAACATTCCGTTTCTGGTACAAAAACCTGCGAACGATTAGTTCGGAAGAGATCCAAAACGGACTTTCTTTTTCTTCATTATCATGGAAAACTATACTTCTAAATCAGGTGCGGAAAGGAATGGATTTACCGTTGACATGAACAGAGACAGTGACAGGATAGTGGAACCATGGGTTGATGTTGAGCAGAAGAAGGCCCTTTGCTCCCCCATAACTAAGCTCGTAGGACGCGTCCTTGCACAGAACTGTCGAAAAGCCATCTAGTCAACAATATAGTGTACACTGCCTCTTTAAAGCTTCCCTTGTCTAAAAGCCAGTCCAGACAGACCTGACTTTTTTTTATTTCTGAGCTTTGCATGCTAAGTCCCAAACGTGCTTCAATATGCGAAGAGGTCAAGAATTTATTTGGTGGCGGGAAAATTAGAGTGACGCGCACATTTGAAAAACATTCGAACTATGCTATAAAAAGGGATTTCGTGTATGCAGATGATAATCAAGTTCGTGGCCAAGAGTGACAGACTAACCGTTGATCACGACAAAAACGATGTTGAGCTGATAATGACTAAAGAAAACGAAAGCCTTCGCATAACGAACCTTGGTGTTGTCCCACAGTTGCCCCATCTCTACGCAGATTCAGGATTAATTCTGGCCCCTACCCGGGATGTGGAGACAACATACCAATCAATAATTTTAAAAGTGGCTGTGGTCTCTGCATCTACACAGAAAACTTAGCCATCCACCTATTTACCCAAGAAGTTGACCGACCCAGTTCCTATTCGGATCCAAGCGCGATTATAGCCGTACCCGAAGCAGATTCGGCAGATACCAAATTTCTGATTTTCTCTGGTTGAGTTTTCCGATCCGCTTAGCCCAGCCATGAATGCGCGTTGAAGGTCGAGACGAGGGCACTTTTCACCATCTGATTAAAAATGCACGAACCAAATAAGTGAACGGGCCAAGGTTCGGTCAGTAGCACTCAATGGAATACAAAATCCTGACTTTGATCCCTAACTCTCATAAGAAGCACATTTCTGAGCATCCATCAGCAAAAGCAAGCACCCACAGATGGCATAAGGTAACGACTACGTTACTGGCATGACGTCAATCAAAACAAGTTCCCTTCAAATTAGAGCAAGGCGACTAAACCCGTACGTGCAACACTAGAACGTGTTAGTAGTTATTGCAGCTAAAATACAAAACACAGACTAGAGATGAGATATAAGGCAAAAAAGTCATTCTTGAATGAGCATACTGTATTAGGTTGGTTGCTGCTGCGCTTGTGTATGGTAACCTTCCTGCGGGACATACATGTACTGTTCAGCAGCATCAAGTTCATGCGGTTGAAGCAGACGACACTTTCGCAAGCGCTTCCATTCACCGCTTTGATAATCCATCTAGAAGGTTGCAGATTTACGAATCGATACGGAGATACCCTCCGCTAAGACAAGTATGCATATCACTTGACATACGAGGAGACATAAAAATCGAACCTGGAAGAAAGTTTCCACCTTCATTTTGCACATCTGATTATCGGCTAAGCCATCTTCAATCGTTTCAGAAAGCTTCATGGTGATTATGTGTCCAAGCTCCGGGCGCGGATTACCTAGAATGTATTTGAGTGTTTCACAACTTGTGCTGCGCATTAACAAAAAAATGGTTTTCGAGTCCCTCAATCAATGCTTGACTGAAAATGAGCTATGAACAAAAAACAATCAGTTGGAAAAATTGACGTACATTTATTTCCAGTCATAAAGGCAACTACCAGCTGTCGTCCATTCTGATCCAAAGAGTTTGCATTACGCAGCATCTCATTACACTGATTCATGATTGCCGCTTCTCGAGCCTAAACTTCGAAATGTATATAGAGTATAGCGTGGAAAACCGAACTTACTCTTTGAGCTGGAGTGCGCTGGTCACGAACGGATGTAGCTACCCAGACTTGACCAGAGCCATATGAAGGAGGCCGGTGAGTCGATGGCTAAATTATATGTTTTGCAACATTTGGTGCTAACTATCAAGACAGAAGTGTATGGCATACTTGTTGGAAAGGATGGGACAAGTACTGCTGCTGCTGCTGCTGCTGCGCAGGTTGATTGTTGGTTTGTAACGAACGAGAAAATGAAGACTGTTCCAGGGACTGTCTATCCAAGTAATCTTTGTGCTGAGCTTGCGATTCGGTCTCAGAATTCTCAGTAGCATGCGGTTGCGTTTCCACCTTTTCTGAATCCGCAGGACTGGAAGAGACCGTAGGCTCAGAAGTAGAATAATCTGGTGCTGATTGCGTTGTGGGGGTGTTGACCTTCAATGACATAATCAGCACAGAAAGGAAAGCGAGCTTCGGGATGCAACATCAAAAGATACCTTTTCACTTTCCTCACTAACCGATGTACTACGTAAGCTGTCAATGCGAGCTCTCTTCTCCGGGGGAGCTTTCTTCGAATTCTCTTGCTTTTGTTGCGCAGCCTTCTTAGCTTCCTCAAACCAGCATTGAGCAAACGTGAGTGTACGAGAGATGCGGTAAAATGTCGGACAAAATCCATTTATACAAATCTTGTATCAAAGCGGCAATTCTTCACCAAAACACTTTTTTGCACACGTCGTTCAGCAAAAGAGTGTGAGCAAAACGTTGAGAAATTCGCGAAGATGAAAGAAAATGGACTACTGAATTACCTCTCGTTCGCGCTTATCTTCCAACGCTTTCTTCTTAGCTAATTCTTTCTCTTCCTGCTTCCGTTTCCGCTCTTCTATCATTTCCAACTGCCGCCGCTTCTTGAGAGACTGTGGTAGTTCACAAATATCTGAAATTGTAAGATAAGGAATTCCACTGCCCGCCAAAACAATAAATCCTACAGTCTGGAAAAAAAAACCATACGCTAGACGCCACGCTCCAAATCTATGCGAGAAATGCAAAAGCAGTTTTAGCTAAATGTTGCGGACGGAATATTTCTGCCTGTGTAAAGTCACTTCTGATAAATTATAAGCATCGCCAGAGCTTCAAATCGCGACGACGATCGCGCAAAGCATATTTTGACCCTTGGACACACCCGCCATGTGATCTGACAATGTTCCAACTAATTTTTATCGTAAGCGCATTTAATACATATACATTTTATACATAGCCCTACTGAATTTCAAAACTTGCAACCAACCTAGAAGCTTTGCTCCACCTTCGCGCCTTGATAGCTGCCGCTGGAACTTCTTCGGCTCGTATGTGAAACCCGAATTAAGTTTGCAGGTATTCTGATTAGGTATCCCCTTCATCGGCACTAAAACATAACGTTGCGCATAGAACGATGAGAATGATATACCAACAATCATTGTTTCCTGTTCGTAACGTTGATCGTATTTTGATCGGCACGGTTGCACTCCACAATCCACTGTTCCGCTCGCGATTAGTGTCCGCCAGTTTTGCACATTCTGGAAAACAGATGGAAGCTTGAAATTCTATTCAGTACTCTGTCGTTATACTAGCTCGATCCCTGAGTGCTACACTATAAATTCTGACAAGCCCGCCCCAAACATAATCTGAAAAAACCTCAATAACTTAACTTTACATCTCAATAAATTATCTGGAACAAGATCAAGTCGAAGCATAATCATTTCTACACATAGAGACATCCGTTCAGCACAAATGTTCCATATGCACAGAAGTTCAGCGGCGGTTCGCTCCTGTTCTTACAAATAAGGGGCCCTACTCACCGCACGATCTTTTTATGCATGCGCTTTTGACTAGAAACTAGATCACCAAAAAACTAAAATCACCGCCCTACTACCATTTGCAAAAATCGAAATTAGAAAAAAAATGATTAGAGTGCTTTCTTCTATCAGTTTGTTTCGTTGTGATATGCCAAATCTAGCTTACGCACATTAAAAGATGCATGTTTTTTTTCTCCCTACAGTAATTCAAGAGCATTGTTGCAACAAATTACAGATTTTCACGATTTTTCGCGCAAAACTTATCGATCAACCTAACAATCATGGGAGTTGCACGAATGTAGCAGAACGAAGCACTCGTAGTTACCAAACAAAATCAAAGCACAAATATGGCTTATATGCCCAGCTCATAAGAACACGGAGGAATTTCACCGTAACGATGTAGGTAACAGTGATGGAACGGTGAGCCAGACCGGGAACTGCGAACCAAGCCTTGGGCTTCTTCGCTTACCAGTTGACGTCATTCCCGATGCAAAGAATTATTTGTCCCAGCCCAAAGTGCAGAATAAATTCAGATGAGAAATATGAAGAGGCAAAATATAAGCGCATAGAAAGATAAACCCAAAAATCATTTGAGAAACATGCAAAAGATAGAGCGTTTATGCAACTCACGCTTGGTCATTTCATTGGAAAGATTGAAGGATTTCGGCTTTTTTCGGAGTATAAAACATTTCTCAAGTTCTGGAGCAGCTCCAAAACTGGCCTAAAAAGCGGAGGATTGAGCTCATCGTCTCCAAACTTGCAATCAAAGAATAATAAACCTCACCTTATTGACTGAAGTGTGTGCTACATTGTGGCCCTCAGGGGAAAGTTTGAGGTTACCTGCTTCAGAGTGCCTTTGAACTAAATAAACGAACTCAAAAGACATTAGCGACCAATAAAGATAATACCACATACAGCACTTGGTCAGATCATCCAAAGTTTTGGAGAAATGGGAGTCTTTGTTGGATGAAACGGGTATTATGACCCCTGTAGACGTTATGTCCCTCAAATTACACCGATAGTTAAGACATTAAATGTTAAAGAATGCGAAAACCAAAAATCACTCACCTATACATATCTGCTATAGTTTCGACCCAGTCATCAGCATCTTTACTGGCTAGGTCAAGAAGAGTTGTGAGAGCATTATGAATCTCAAAATGTCTGATAGAAATGAAAATTATAAAACATACAATAACACACTTACAGTACTCAGCTTTCGCGGATTCATGTGAGGAATGCAGCATATGATCTTTAGTTTCGTTTGTACATCAATCGCCTGAATCACACACACGATGGACAATCAAACAAGAATGCAAGGCAGAAGATTTTACCTGGAAACATGTCTCCAGCTCTTCAACCATTTCTCTGGAAAGCATCGAAGCGGTCATACGTCCGGACCACACTCCGGCATCGTTCAACTTCTTTTCCAACCAGTTCACCTACGCTTTGACTTGTAAGGGAAACAATAACAAAAGAAGACTAAACAGTAAAGAAAAAGAACTCAAAGCTTATCTATCTACTCACGAGGTCCATATCCTTCAAAACCGATAATTGTGAAGAACTGGAGGCATGACTACCGCCTTTCTCCGAGTCAACCATCACCTGGATACGATTATGGAACACCCAACGGAAAAGCAAAAAAAAAAGGCTAAACAGAAACATTTTGGATTTGTGGGGGGGGGGGGGGGCACGCGCTGCGCGGCTATTCGCACTAGTCCACACTATTTTCTAGCTCATCATGCGAACGTGTTCAAACTCAATGAATTCTCATTTTGAGTAAACACGTTTATAAGCCCTGTCGACAGGAAATTGTGATTTTCTTACGCAGAAAAATGTAAATAATTTGATGTCATTGAAAAAGATGCTTCTACACGCAGCTGAGCCGATTAGACAGTTGCGATAGTCGCACGCGACCCTCGAATTCCAGTATCACGTTTGCACCTTCAACAATGCAAACCTTTCGAAGTGAATATAGTTTCCTAGTTCTCCTGGTTCACGCCCAGCTTCTATTCTGAGAAGTAAGGTTAATCCAGTCTGTTATTAAAATGTGCTAACAAGGGAATGGTCAGAAGTCGAAGTGGCCAATCCAAACAAGCTGCATACCGTTAGATGCAGCATAAAACGCTGACTCAAAATCTGTCTTCCTTATCTGCAGAGCGCTTTTGTGGACGAAGTTATAAGCCGTTGAAGGCCATCATTTTGCTAAGAAATTGTGCGTATAAAGTGCAAACTTGGCCGCACAAAGCCATTCTCGGCTCAGTGTTGGACCAAAACATACAACTAGGTCCCTTCATATGACCCGTACCTAAAGTTGAGCTGAAAGAGCATTAATGTGCCTAATTTTGCAATTTTTGTATTCGGTTTTTTCGCAGTAAAGCTGATCATAACTTCGCTTACAGAAGCGCTCTGCAGATATGGAAGACAGATTTGAAATCAGCGTTTTGTGCTGCATCGCATGGTATGCAGCTTGTATGGATTGGTCACTTCGACTTCTGACCATTTCCTCGTAAGGCAACATATCCAGCGACAAAAATACAAAATGCTATCCAAAACTACTGAGGCTTCTGAAGGTCTCACGCCTTGTTGTACCGTTAATGCTGTGCCTTGTCCTCAGTTCGGCTGACAATATCTGTCACGACTACACGCTAGCTATTTCATATGAACGTATGTGTTATTGCATGCGATGTCCTGCTCTGCCGCTTATCCTGAATTTTTTTTAGCACGGACACCCACCGTTGTGTGTTCTCGATCTCTTCAACTCTTCCCTTGTTAATATCTACTCAAAGTGAAGTAAGCAGTAATGATCGGTGGATCTCTCGCGTTGCAACCAGAGGTGTAGAATAGGGATGGGGAGCACATTGTGTGCACTGGCACATGGGTGCATCCCTCAGAATTGTTCCCATAGTTACATACTATCAACGTGGCTGCCTTTCATCGTTTTAACATGTCAAATTCGAATGAGAGCCTCAAATTTGTGGGAGTCAACGTGTTGAAACGATTGAAAGGCAGCAACTTTGATAGTATGTACTTACGGGAACAAATCTGGGAATGCACCATATTTCATATGGAACGCTGGACTGTATCACCTACGTTCTTTCTGAATATCGCAATGCCAGGCGTAAATGGAACAGTTGTTGTACCAAAAAAGTATTGGGCGCTATCCCACATTAGTTGAACCAAAAGATGAAAATCGCAGATTTCGCTAAAACATCGAAAGGGCTTATTTTGTACGCTGATTACGAGTATGATGATTATTTCGCAAGGTAATGCCATCTTGTGGAATTACGGTAAGATTACGGTGGGGTCATGACCACGGATTACCCCAAACTTCGCCTATGGGGGTATCTCGTACGCTGAACATGACTAACATATTCAATTCTTACGGTAGTGCTGTTCGGGTTACGGTGGGCATAGATGGCTAATTCCGAATTTGCTTGCTTTGCACGGACGGGAAGGATGCGTAAAGAATATCATGCTCGTTTGCTGCAACAACTCCTTATCGAATACTAGTTGGCATACCCGGCTCCGCCCGGCACCACATACAGTCTGCTCCAATAGGGATCAGGCCGAATCGTTGGCCTAAAATTGCACGCTCGCAGCACTAGCTGTCTGCGCTGCATATGCGCGCTGTCGGAGAGAGCAAAAGGATTGAAGAGAGGGTGGAGAAGCAGGCTGTGGGCGTGACCGCGAAATCCTAGCGACGCGGACTCCCGCCATACCAATTTTGGCCTGGTTGGGATTGGGGCAGACTATACACTTCGGTAAAAAAAAGCCGACGTTGTATTCCTCAAGAAGAGGAATACAACTTCGGCTTTTTAGTTGTACCGTTTTGTTCCTACGCTTAGACGGTTTGGCTGAGTAGGTCCTAGGCTTTCCCCCGGAACTCATCAGTAAGGAAGGAAGCTCGATTGGATCTACTCAGTTCCTTGTTTGTCCCACCCATCTCCCTGAGCCCCTGGCCGCCACTTTTTTGGGTTTTCGTTTTGCGTTTTTTTTTTGGATTTTATATTTTCCATTTTTTGGGGGTTTTCCAATAGAGTGGAATGCAACAAGTAAATAATAAAATTGTACTATGTCACGGCATGCAACTATGTCAGCGCCCTTGGATACACTACGTTAGCTGTGCTCCGTTCCGGCGCATATATGTATTTACAGGTTTCGCCGGATTCCCGACCCTCAAACACACTACGTACACCTGACCATGCGAAAAACAGGAGTTTCTAGGTCTACTCCTACTGTTCGCAGGAACTGCCCTTGCGCTTTGTTGATCGTCATAGCGAGTGCAGGCCTGACCGGATGCAGTCGCTTGAAGTCAAAGGGCATATTGGAGGGGATCAAAGGGATTCGTGGAATTTTAACGACTTCACCTTTGAACTTCTCCACCAATATGGTCGCTTCTATGACGTTTGGTATGAGATTACTGTGCACAGCCTTGTACCACTGCACAACTTCGGTGGGTTGATGTTACGAAGAAGCATGATTGGCAAACTAACCTTCAGATCAAGTCTGTGAGGTGGTATCCCATTGGGCGAGTAAATTCAAGAACTCGGTGGGCAAGTAAACAGCCTGCTCACACTGAGCCATCGTATCAACGGATGTGTACGTTGACACTGGTCCAGGTAGGCTGTTTAAAATCTGAGCATTGAAAGAATTCAGTTGCTCATTTTTGGGTGCCAGAATTGCTCCATCGCAAACTCACTCCCCATTGCTGAAGTTGGTGGCAGTGCTTGGGAAGACCTTATCTATCAGTTTTCCCATCGATTAACCATATTGCAAAAGTCTGGAGGAAAGGTAATCCAGCCAGACTTGGTGCAAACGGAATTCTGCCAAGAAGCAACAGCTGTTGCGCAAAGCTTCTGGCAGTCTCATCGTCAAGGAGGTGGACTCGCATGTTCAATGTGAGATTCAGCGATGAACATGTCTCCAGAGATGAGAAGCTTTGAGGCAAGCATTCGGCTCATCTGCTGAGTCGACCGCGGAATCACTGGCAGAGTTTGACGAAAGTCGCCTGCCAGTAGCACGACGGCCCCACCCGTTAGTCTGTTGCTTTCTCTTACGTCCTGTATTGTGAAACCAAGGGCTTCTAGGGACTTCTTATGCGCCATGGTGCATTCGTCCCAAACTATGAGTTTGGTTTCTTGTAACACCTTGGCTTTCCCTGGCTCTTGCTTATCCCGCATACTGGGTGCTCTAAATGAACAATATCCAGAAAAAGCTTGAAAGCTGAATGAGCAGTTTGGCCTTCTTCTAGCAGTGTTAAGGCAATCCCTGAATGCCACTACTAGTGCGATTCCTCCTTGTCTGCGAATCTCGGCAAGTAAGAGATTGATGAGAAACATTTTCCCTGTTCCACCTGAAGCGTCGAGAAAGAGTAGCCCACCCTTGCCACTAGAAATCGGGTCCAAAATAGCACGGTAAGCCAACTCTTAATCCTCCGTAAGGAGAGGTCTGTTGGACTCTACAAATGTGGATAGCTGATCGACATCGTAGGACCTCTCTCGAAGAACATCGCTCTCGAGTGCTTGGTCATCTCCGCGTATTGGTGACGGCAAACCGAGGTCTCTGAGGGTTTGACCGGTCATCGACGCGCATGTGTCCTCAAGCAGTATCAACCTTCGGTTGAATATCTCGGGGGAGTAACTGATGTCTGCAGAGGATGCCATTCTGCGACATGCTCGAGGATTTGACGGTTCACAGGTCGTCAGGATGATGCCGAAGAGACTTCGCACTTGAGCAGCAAAACTTGTCGCAGATGCTTCTGCAAGAGTTTTTTTTTCAGTGCTGATCACCTTCAAGCAAGCCAAGTCTTCGGCTTACTTCTCTAAAGGTTTCACAAACGATAGTCCTCAGTGCTGCGAATGACGTCGGTCCTCGGATTGTGTGAAGCAACAATCTGAGGTAGGGACATTCGGTTTGGTTAGGGTGTACAGTAGAGGTGAGCCCCCGAAGATCCTTAGGGTTTTGGTAGAATTCTGACATTATTTTGATGTGCAGACGACTGGAAATGAAGCAAAAAGGCTCGGTTGTGAAATCAACACACATGCCTTAGCGTCAAAACGGAAGGGGCATTTCGGCTCTTTCGGACTTTTTTGGGCTGAGAGGCAGGCTGGACTCCGTTTAAAGGCAGTGGATCGGCAAAATCCAACAACTCGGGATTTTAACGCGGTGGGTTCCTTATTGCCCAAGTTTGAAAACAGCGCAGTTCCGGTTGCACGACATGCCTTCCCTGCCGAAAAAATTGCCCTCAAACTTACACGCGCAGACTAATCTTACACGCATCCGGACGAGTTGCCAAATTCCTTCTCACCATTGGAGGCTGCCCACCGCAATGCTATAACCATTGGGTCCTGCCACGATTCAGCGTCATCAGCCTCGCTCCACTCGTCCAATTCCAAAAAGAAGGGCATTGAAAAACGCTCGTTTCCGCCGTTTTCAAGCTCTCAAAAGTGCATTTTCGGGATCAGCGTATGGAATAACCCCAGGTAAGCAAAAATTTCACTAGGTTGAGATTTGCCGAGCCTCTGCCTTCAAGGAATACGAAGCAAAGAGTTTATTGTAAATCATGCTGACCTTTACTTCAACCAGATCGGCGGCTGGAAGGCGGGGCTCCGTGGCCTAACAAAGGATAGAAAATGA